CTTTATTTTATTCTATTTTTTAGCAATACTGGGAATGGCTACAGAGCTCACACATGGCAAGGCAAATGCTCTACCACTGAGCTACATGACTAGCATACAGGGGTATGACTTTCAGAGCTAGGCATACAGCAATTACATGACCTCATTCCTTAAGGAACACAGAAAACCAAACTTGGGGTTGGGGAGATGGTTCACCAGATAAAATGACTACTATGGAAGGATGAGTTTAGATTCCTAGAACCTATGGTGGTGCACACTCATAATGCTGCCTTTGTGGGGAAGGGGATATGGAGACAGGCAAACTCCATGGGCTCAAGCAGAAATGGAGAGCTCTAGGTTCAGTGAGAAAGCCTGTCTCAAAATATATAAGGATAGGCTGTACACAGTGCTGTAAGCTTTTTTGTTGTTGACTTTTGTTTTTTTTTTTTTTTTTTTTTTTTTTTCTTCCAGTGTCTCTCTGTAGCGCTGGCTGTCGTGGAACTCACTCCGTAGACCAGGCTGGTCTCGAACTCACAGAGATCTGCCTGCCTCTGCCTCTAGAGTTCTGGCATCACTGCCCAGCTTTTTTTTTTTTAATGGGAAGAAATGATGAGAGAGAGAGGGAAAGAGAGATAAAGGGAGGGAGAGAGAGAGAAAGGGAGGGAGGGAGTGAGGGAGAGAGAGAGAAAGAGAGAGAGAGAAAGGGAGAGAGAGAGAGAACCTACAATTGGGACAATATCCCACCTCTCTTAAAGATTTGAGCTACAAGTACATAGGTCCTGCAGAAGGTTCCCTCAGCAGGTATCAGGAGCGCCCCCTCTGGCTTGCTTCTTCACCAGCTTGGCAAAAACCAACCATCTTGGTTTGGGTGACCTTGGGATTGCTGGCAGGGCATAGAGAAAGAAAGGGTACTGTTTGAAGCCTACTGAAGACCTCAAGAGAGAGCCACAATAAACACAGCAATTGTTTGATGAAGCTCTTGGCTTTGGGTCTAGGCAGCAGGAAGAGCTAAAACTGGTGTGGCAAGATGGGGATAGCCCGAGGCAACAGTTTGGCTGCAGGGCCTGGTAAGGAGCTCTGAAACTGCATTCTGAAGAAACCTGAGGATTTTTCTCCCAAAGCAACCGCCTTCCTTGTATCTCTAAGTTCCTGTGTGACTGGATGTACTATAATATCAATTTTCAAAATGCACATTAATTAATCTCCTATATGTCCAGCATGGTATCTGGGGAGTCTTGTTGTTTTTTGTTTGTTTGTTTTGAGGCAGGGTCTCACTATGTAGCCCAGGCAGTCCTGGAACTCACTTATGATGAAGTAGACTTTCTTTGAACTCATGAGATTTACCTGCCTCTGCCTCTAGAGTGATGGGATTAAAGGTGGTTTTTGTTGTTGTTGTTTTTTAATGAGACAGGTTGTGCCTTTATAGGGCAGGCTGGCCTTGAACTTGTGAAGATCTTTTTGCTGTCTCTACCTCACAAGGGTTTAACAGACTTGTGTCACTGGGCCCTGCTTTCCCTCACCCCTTCATGGTGTTAGGAACAGAACCTAAGGTTACTCAACTGCTCTCCTGCTAAGCCAAGCCCCAATCTCTCTAACATTGAACTCCACCCCCAGCTATCTTTTATTTTATTTTGGCCTTTTGAGACAGTTTTCCTCTGTGTAACAGATCTGGCTGTCCTGGAACTCGCTCTGTAGACCAGGCTGGCCTCGAACTCAGAGATCCACCTGCCTCTGCTTCCTGAATGCTGGGATTAAAGGCGTGCGCCACCACCTACCTGTGATCTCTCATTATTTGAGGCCCCCTTCATTTCATGGAGCCCCTCCTATGCCTAAGCCTTTCCTGGGCCAGTGTGGTGGCTCAGTGGGTTAAGTGTATGCCGAGTAAGCTTGACAACCAGAATTCGAGCCCTGAAATCCATGGAAAGACAGAACAGAACTGCCTCCACTAATTTATGACTCCTGACCACCACTTGTGCACCTTGGCACACCCATGTGTCCACACACACACATCCATACACAATAAAAATAAATGTAAATAATAAAAAACAGGACCCCTCCTGAGAGCTCCTCCTCTTCACTAAGCCAACAACTGTTTATTCTTCCATTGGAGACAGGGTCTCACGTAGCCTAGGCTGCCCTCAAACTCACTGTGTCATCCAGGCTGGCTTTGAATTTGTAATCCTGCCTCAACCTCCTATGAGCTGAGATTGCAGTCATGGCACATACTTGGCCCCAAATCTCTGTTCTCTGAAGCTCTTCTCATCAGTCATTTGGTCTGAGGTTTTAAACATCGAGGGAAACTGCTGGGGATAGTTGTCTACATACTCACTGCTCTCATAGGATCTTATCATGAATGAACTAAACACTAGGGCATTTACTATTAATAGCAACCTATTTCCTTTTCCTTAGGTCATCCTGATGCCAGAACAGTGGCATTCCTTAGGGAAGAGGAGGGACTTTCTGGAGTTGTACTCCTAAGTAATCTTTTGGCACTGGGCACACTGAAACCTGCCTCTAATACCAGCTTCTTAGAAAGCTTAGCTACGATGAGCGTGAGGCTCACCCTGGGCTACAGATTGAGACCTTGTCTCAAACCCAAACCCAAAATCAAGTTCATGGGATCAAATACTCAGGTGACCCTCTTTCCCTCCTAAATTACCAGGATGGTGAGCACAGTTTATAATTCTGCTGCTCCAGCCTCCCCAGGAGTCCTTGTTCAGGTTTGCACATGGTGCCTAGATCGGACTCTTGCGTCCTGCTCAATTCACTCCTTCCCCAGCATTATTGCTTAGGCCACTGATAGCCACCTCGATGTTTAAAACCTGGTTTCTTCCCCAGCCTTCATCTCCCCTGACCCCTTCCATGTTCAAACACTGTTGTCCATCCCCACATCCTTGGAACTCTTTTCTTCTTTTGGTTTCTAGAACAAGCTTGCTGTTCCCCTAGTTTCTGCTGTATGCTAATGACTCCTGGATTTACAACGCCTCCGTACAATCATTCATTCCCCTTCCTGTTTCCTGGATCTTCTTACCTGGCTGTTCCTAGTCTGAACAACTCTTACGCTCAAGCGAACTTCCCTCAGCTTCCCCCCAGGAACCTGAGCTGCTATTTGGTAGTTGTTCTATCATCAGTGACCTAAGGCTGAAAACTGAGTCTATATTAATTTTATCTTACTTTGGTTTTTCAATACATGGTTTCTCTGTGTAGCCCTGGAACTCACTCTGTAGACCATGCTGACCTCGAACTCAGAGATCTGCCTGCCTCTGCCTCCTGAGCCCTGGGGTTAAAGGTGTGTGCCACCACCACCTGGTTTAAGTTGAGGCTATTTTAGATTCTTCTCTCTCCCTCACTCTGACACCCTAATGGTTTTGGAGTTCTACAAATCTCACTTCCTAAAAGCCCCTCAGTTCTGCCCCTAGATACTACTATCTCACCCTAGATGGGATCCCTCTATCATCTTTGAGTATTTTCCTCAAGTTTCTCTCACGTTGTGCTGCTGTTTTTTGTTTGTTAGAGACAAAGTCTCCTTATGCAGCTCTGGCTAGCCTGGAACTCAATATATAGACAGACCAACCTGGTCTAGAACTCATGGAGACCCTCCTGCCTCCAGATTGCTGGGATTAAAGAAATGCTCCAACATGCCCCTTTTTGTTCGTGTTTTGTTTTGTTTTGTTTTGAGACAGTCCATGCAGCCCAGGCTGGCTTTGGAATTGATTTGTGAACCAGGTGTGGTGGTGAGCCTGGTCTACATGAGTTCCAGGACAACCACGTAGAGACTCTACCTCAAAAGCAAATGAATGAAAGAGTGAGATAGAAAGACAGAGAAAGAAAAAGATTGAAAGAGACAGAGAAGAAAAATTGTTAGTGCTGGTGAACAGGTGAATATAGTCAACTCCTGATGTTTCTGTCTGCACTTCCCAAATATTCTCACCTTTTAAGGAACCTGGGAGCCTGTTTTCCCTTCAAGAGCCCTGTCACAGTTCCCTTTACCTTGTTCCAAGAGCAAGTGTCTCACTTCTCAATATTGTTTAAAGCTAGGTCCCTCCCTCCCTTGGGAGCACCGGGAAGAAGGTGAGGTGGCCTTTTTCCTCATCCACCCACCCATCCCAGTGCTGGGAAGGGAACCCAAGCACAGTGTGTGCTACTCTACCACTGAGCCACACCCCCATCGCTTAGATGTCCTTTTGGTGAGGCATTTGAGCCAAACAATAGGTCTTTTTGTTTGACGTCTCCAAATATGAAATCACAGTATAGAAAGGATTTCTTTGACCGGTAAATCAGCTACCTCAAACGCCCAAAGCAAGGCTGTGGATCCAAGCTCCAAACTCAAATCACCTGGGACATCCGCGAGAAGAGCCCCTTGCTTCCTTCAGCCACATCCCTCAGAAACCCTCTGGCTAGATCGCTAGATAAGCCTTGTACAGGCTCTGTTGATTTCAGTAGCGGAATACCTCCCAAATGACCCACCAAGTGAGCACCAAACTCACTGTATAACCCCCTACTTTCTCCTTACTGGACCAGTGTGCTGTTTTAAACTCGATGCCTACGGTGAGGCTATCCCAGGGACACTCCCCAACAGATGCCCGGTATGGGAGGTGGTGGCCTGTGGGGGCGTTCAGGATAAGGAGGCTCCAGCGACTGCAAAAAACGAAAGGTTTTTATTGAAAAATATGAAACTGCCCGTTTTATGGCTGCCTGTCCCTGCCCACTGTGAGCCTTCTGGCTTCGGAAGGACGGTTGGCAAGTAGCTGCGGTGGCCACCCCAGCCCTGTACTTGGGAAGGGTGAGGTTTCTTTGTCCTGACGGTTGGGTTGGACGGTTCCTAGACCCGGCAGTCAGGTGGCAGCCGGGGAAGCGGGGACGCCGGGCTATCTGTCCTCTTCTAGTCTAGCAAGTAGACTGCGTGGCGTCTGAACCATATGGAAGGTGGGGTAGTCTCAGAAGCATGGCTGCACGCTGGACTGGTGGGGTGCTTCGGACGCTGGTAGTAGTGATGGGGCTGTCTGCGCGCGCCCGGCCCCTCAGACATAGTCCTTGCGGTCATAGGCGGTGCCGGTACCGGTGCCAGGCCCGGTGGATCGCGGCGCAGAATAGAGGACCTTGGTGGGCGCGTACTTCTCGCGCGGTGGGCAGGAGCAGCAGAGCAAGGCGCCCCCTAAGAGCTGCAGGGCGGCGGCAGCCCAGCCCACGTACAGCCCGGCTCCCATCTCCCGCTTCTGGGCCTCGGGCACCAGTGGGTTATAGAAATCCCTGATGATGGTGTTGGCCGACCAGGACACGGGTACTAAGGTAAGCAGAGAGGCCAACAGGAAAAGCACTCCCGCCCCGATGGTGATCTTGGCCTTGGCCGTCTCGTCTTGTACGCAGTTGGTGCACTGAGCTCCCACGAGCGCCACGAGGAGCCCAAAGGCGGCCATCAGGATGGACACCACGATAAGAGCTCGGGCGGCCTGCAGGTCCTGCGGCAGGGCCAGCAGCGAGTCGTACATCTTGCACTGCATCTGGCCGGTGCTCTGCACCACGCAGTTCATCCACAGGCCCTCCCAGGTGATCTGCGCCGTGATGATGCTGCTGCCGATGAAGGCGGAGACGCGCCACATGGGGAGCGCGCAGCACACGATGGTGCACAGCCAGCCCAGCACGGCCAGCGACGTGCCGGTGATCTCCAGGCCCATGGACATGGCTGCTGGACTTGAACCGGCTCTGCCGGTCAGCTCCGAGGGCTGGAAGACGAGGGATCGCGGCCGCTGGACCTGAGAACAACTGCCGTGCGAAGACCGACGGAGGACTGTGGCCGGGACCGAGGAGTGGATGGCAAAGGACGGAGCGCGCTAACGGCTCCTCTCTCGGGGCTCTCACCGAGGCTGCCCCTGCACCTGCCTGTGTGGCTGGCTTCTGAGGCTGGCTTGGCTCTGGGATGGGGTGGGTTGGACTTAGCTGGTGCCCAGAGGAGGAGGGTGGAGCTCGCTCTCCGGGCTCTGGGGACAGTGACGTGTGTCCCGTCCAGTCCCGTCCGTGCTCTCCCTCCCCTTCACCAAGGGAGGAAGGACTTAGCCAGAACCTGAATGTTCTGGGGTGGGGGTGATGTCGAGGGAGGGCCGGGCTCTTTGTGCTCCCTCCTTTCCAGACCTCTCCTAGCTGTTTATCCTTAACGAATTCTCTTGAGACATACAGAGGGGGAGGGGTGCTTCAGGGATTTCTGAAGCGCAAATCACCAATAGTAAGCTGCTTGGCTCTCTTGCCCACACCTCCATCCTTTCCAACGCGGGAGGCGTAGGATGGGGGCGAGGCCAGTTCCTCTGGACAGCCGGGACTGGGAGGACCCAGTGAGGGCGTGGCTGCGGCTGTTTGTCGTTGTAAGTGGACGGATTTGCAGTACCTGCTCTTGGGTCCCTCCGGCTTTGAGGCAAGTGCCCTAGCCTTGTCCAAGCGCAGTTTTATGCAGTCTGGTAGTATGGTCTATATTTGGGTATGCTGGACTCTGAAGCCAGGGCCGCCCACCTGAAGAATGCCGCCACCACCAGGTGTTGAATTCAAATATTTGCTGGCCCCCTCATGTGACTGTGTGGTAGGCTTAACTCAGAAGCTACCTTTCCTCATTGAGGTTCTCTTCATGCGGTTTTGTTTTCTCTCCTTTTTGGGGGGCAGAGCGAATGCCAGGGTGAGGTGGGAAAGAGATTTTATACAACCCAGAACAGAAAAAGAAAAGCCAGGTGTGTTGGCTCATGCCTGAGGCTGAGGCAAGAAGATGACTTTGAGTTCAAGGCCAGAGTGGGCTGCAGTGTGTGTCTCAAAATAAAACAACACACATACGGAAAGCCCTGTACAGTGTGCCATGCCTGTAATCTCATAATTTAAGGAAGTGAAGGGAGACCGGAGTTCAAGATCATCTTGGCTAAATGGAGGATTCAAGGCCAATGGGCCACAGGAGACCCTGGCTCAAACAATCTACAAATAAGAGTTAAAACAACAACAATAACAACAACAACAACAAAAACCAAAAGAAGCCCCAAACACCACTTCATATTGTCTCTGAGCACTGTCTCTCCTGCTTCGTGGCCCCTCCTCCTCTGAAGAGCCGGCCTTGGAGTGGCACAAGCTCCAGCTCCCCCTTCACTTCTTCCCTCACCACAGCTAGGGGCTGGCTCTTTCGGTTGTGTTCTTAGACAATCCAAGGACCTGTGCTTGGGGTCCTTTCTTCATGGGGCACTCCTACAGCTACCCACGTGGCTTACTGAGCCCCCACCCCCCAAGTCTTTTGTAGTTTCAGGAGCAAGGGGATTTAGTTCAATGGGCACAGTGCTTAACCAGCATGTTCGAAGTTCTGGGTCTGTCCCGGGCACTGAATAAACCCTGTGAGATGGTATGTTGATAATCACTAGTCTAATGCATATCAGAAGTTCAAGATCCTCCCCAGCTACTTAATGAATTGGAGGTCAGTATGGGTGGCTTGGAACCCTGTCCCCAAACAAAAACAAATGACAATGACAAAACAAATCCAGCTTCTTACCCACAATGTCCAGTCCCCTTTTATACCTCTGTTTTCTTTAGTATTTGAAACCATCTGAAGTACACTCCCTCTTTCCTTTCTGTTTTCTTCTCTTCCTCCTCCTTCTCCCCCTCCCTTCTTCCCTCCCTGCCTTTCTATTTCTTCTCCCGCCCCCCCCCATCTTTTTCTCTCCCTTCCACACAGGACTGCACTGTGTAGCCTTAAACTCAAGAGTGTTTTGCCTCCCCTGCATGAGTGGTGAGGTTCTTTGTGAAAGAGGCTACGCTTGGTTTCTCATTTATTTCTGGTTCTTTGTCTCTGCTCTGCTCTGTTACCACTGCTGGGACATTCAGAATGTTCCAAGACTGACGAGCATTTTTTGCCTGTTTTATTGTCCGGCACTCCCACCACCTAGAACAGGGCTGGGTACTCAGAGAGGTAATTGACTTCTCACTTTTCTCTTGTTTCCGGCAACCTGTCCTGCCAGGGCTCTTGGACTGAGGATGTTGTGTTGTGAGGGCCCCAGGGGCTGTGCAATTAGCCAGGAACCTGAGACCCATACACCTAGATGAAAAACTTGGGGGAGGCAGATGGTCCAGAGGATAAAAGTCCTTATTGCCAATGACAACCTGGGTTTGAGCCCCATCCAAAGGGTAGGGGGGAAAGCCCATTTCCTAAAGTTGTTCTCTGACCTCCACATACTTGCACACACACACACCACACACATGGAATAACCAATCAAACAAAATAAAGGGGCAAGCTTCATTGAGTTGGGGGCTAGGGTTGTTTTTTTTCTGGGGAGGGGGGACTCCTACCTCTCAAATCATAAGCATCAGACTTAATCCTTTTTCCTAAGAATCCAAACCCTGGGGTGACAGAAGACTCAAATAAACAATCCCAGGGGCCCATGGAAACCAGGGCTCTGTTTCTTCCAAGTGCAAAGGTCTTGGGCTGGCCCTGATGGGCAGGGCTGGGAGTGCCAGGCCAGAAGGCTCAGCTAGTGCTGGGTCAGGGCTGTTCTGGGAGGAGTGTAAGCCTGGGTCCTCTTTGATAGAGTGTTGGTGTGGTGACTGATGCCTTGGGTCAGGGGATGAGGATATGGCTCTGTCTGTAAAGTACTTGCCACTTACGAATGAGGACCTGGGTCCTGTCCCCTGAAACCCACATTAAAAAACAATGGAAAAGTGGGTGGTGATGACACACACCTTTAATCCCAGCACTTGGGAGGCAGAGGCAGGCAGATTTCTGTGAGTTCGAGGCCAACCTGGTCTACAGAGTGAGTTCCAGGACAGACTCTGAGCAATACAGAGAAACCCTGTCTCAAAAATAAATAAATAAATAGAAACAAAACCAACACAAAACAAAACAAAATAATAAACTGAGTACTGCCACCCCAGTCCGCAGGAGGTGGAGACAGGAGAAACCTAGGGCCTATCTGGCCAGCCAAATAGATGAGTTCAGATTGAGTGAGAGATCCTGCCTCAAAAGATAAGATGGAGAAGTGATTGAGGAGGACACCTGGAGTGTCTCTGGCTTCCACATATTAAAAAACACGCATTTGTGCATACACTGCCTCACATGGGCACACATGAACATACTACAAAAAAGGGGAGCAGGGGAAACCTGGAGTGGTGGTGTACACCTTTAATAAAGCAATTTGGTGGTAGAAGCAGTAGATCTCTGTGAGTTCAAGGCCAGACTTATTTAAGTTAGTTCCTAGCCTGATCTAAGAAAGTTCCAGTCCAATCAGCGCTACATAGTGAGACCCTTTCTTAAACAAATCAAACAAACAAACCTTCAAGATGTGAGCTCCGTTTCCTGTCCCTGCCTCCTGCCACCATCCCAGCCTGTCACCTTGCTGCCTCTGCCACAATGGATTCTCTCTCTCTCTAGAATTATAAGGCAGAATAAGCTCTTTATCCCACTAAAAAAACAAATCAGATGCCAGGCAGTGGAGACTCATGCCTTTAATCCCAGCACTTGGGAGGCAGAGGCCGGCGGATCTCTGAGTCTGAGGCCAGCCTGGTCTCCAGAGTTATTTCCAGGATAGTCAGGGTTACACAGAGAAACCCTGTCTCAAAAACAAACAGACAATAAGAGGAAGGAGGAGAAAGAGGAGAGGAAAAGAAGGAGGAGGAAGAGAAGGAAAAGCAACAATGGTAGAAATCTATCACTCCGACCACAACAGTGTGCTAGAGCTCACAGAAATGTTGTGGCAGGGTGGGCCACTCTGACGGCTGGTTATACTGTGGTTTGACACCATGATCTTTGATTCCTGTTTGTGAGGCTGAGGAAAATGTAGGTGACTTTTCCAACCTCAGTTTCTACCCTTGTAAAATGGGGGAAACTATGTTCCTGTGACTCATGTTGTAGGACTGTGTAGAGATGGACAGCCACGTATCTGTCCTGTAAAAATAGAAACAACCAGGGCAGGGCACGAAACTACACAGAGAGATGATGTGTACTCAGACCGGTGATAGCTGATCCTGGAGACCTTGAGTAGGTTCTGTGTCCTCCTTGATCTCCAGTTTCCTCAACCCAGAGAAGGAATTGCTCTGAGACTGGACAGGGTTGGGGGGATGGACAGGAAGAGCTGGCCTGTTTTTGAGGTGAACCTGCTGGGCAGGGCGGATCAGAGGCAAGCTGGGTAGTTTTCATGCCCAGGGGCCAAACTTCAGGAACTCCACAAATAAGACTTTGGCTCCTCGTAAACACCTCCAATCAGCCCTGAGCTCAGTATCTACCATGGGTCTTATAACTCAGTAGTCAAAAGGCAAATGATCCAATTGAAAACTGGGTGAAGGAATTCAAAACCATGAGCTACTACCTCGTTCCAGATGGAAGGACTGTTATAAAAAAGGCAGGAGATAATGGATGCTGGGAGGAAGGGGAGAAGGGGGAAGCCTTGCATGTTGTTGGTGACAACACAATGTGTGTTATTATAGCTATTATGGAAAACAGTCTGGAAGCTCTTCAAATGATTCAGAAGAAAAGCTGGCAAGACAGTTTCATAGTTTAAGGGACTTGCCTCCAAGCCTGGCAACCTGGGTTCGATCTCCTGGACCCACAAAGTGAAAGGAGAAAACTGACTCTGGAAAGTTGTCCTCTGACCTCCACATGAATTTCAAGGCGAGTGCTTGACTTGAGTATTCTTGAGTATTCAAGAGCATGCAGTGTGTGTGTGTGTGTGTG